TGTGTGTGTGTGTGTGTGTGTGTGTGTGTGTGTGTTTAGGCAATGTCAAACCGTCGGCAAGAAAGCCACACGCTGTCCGTGTCAAGAGAGGGGCTTTGTGAAAGGAAGGGGAACATGTAGAAACTGAGCCTGGGGCAGCCGACGGTGGACCAGAGGCCCTTGGGCTCGTTTCCACGTGGCTCCCACTTGGGACAACAATTCCGCCCGCTGGTCTTCGGGGCTACATCACGGGTGTTTCCGCACACAGCAATCGCGACGTGTTACGGACGTGAGAAGAAAAGGGTGCCAGCACGATAGCCAGGCCATCCGTTACCAGAGGGCACGGGGGACTGAACAAGACCCTCCGTGTTTTCCGGTCCGAAGGTTTTCTCGTTGCAGGTGTTCCTTATTGTCTTTCTCTTGGCTCACCGTAGGTCCCGCGGTTCGTGCTTCCGTCGGGTCGAGCGGGCCTAGCTCTGAAAGCTTTGTTATTTTGCAGCAGAAGGCAAGGACCTGCTCCACCTTTCTGTGTTTACCAGCACAGACGTGCCCACGGCTCTCCTCCCTTTTACGCGGACTCCTTGGTGCGACTCCACGCTCTCTTGTCTTGCCACACCCCCGGCTGGCTCCCCCCGGTGCTCCCTGTCCCCTGGTTCTGTTCCCTCCCCTGCTCTCATCTGCCAGAACCGCCACAGGCCAGCGCTCCCTCCTGCAGCGGGGGGCTAGCCACTGCCGTGCCCTCACCGGCCTCTCCCTGTCCTCCTCTCCTCGAGCTACTCGCTTCCTCCAGGTGGAGCAGACGAGCGTCTCCTCTGAGGGTACCTGGGCTTGTGAACAAGCGCCAGACGCTGCCACCGTGGCGCAGGAGGCAAGGGGCGGGAGCCAGGGGGCCCGGGAGGGGCCCGGAGGAGCCGCGTCCTAGCAAACAAGGAGGGCCGGGGACCTTCTGGGGAGCCTAGGGAATAACCCTGCCTTCCCTGAATGGGGATGGTAAGGGCCTTCCCTCACAACCTAGTCTTGCTTTTTAGGATTCCCATCACGTGGCATCACTTTAAATAGCAGAATACCAAGTCTTCAGAAAAAGGTGTATCTTTTCCTCTCTCTCGCGCGCGCGTGTGTGTGTGTGTGTGAGACAGCATCTAAGCCCGCGCAGCCATACTGTCCAGGAGCGATGCTATTTGTGTAGGCCTTATGTATGCAGGCACTGAAGAAGTGTTTACACATGTAGTTACTCTACATAAGTCCAAAGGAAGCCTTATCGGGCAATGTTCTTGGAAGTACACAGGTGCCTTTGCAAGTGTATGTCTGTCTGCGGCGTGGGGGTGGCTGCAAGGAGATGGAAGGAACACGGCCAATGCGTGCTCCCAACCGCAAGGATGACGGGGGCTCCGGGCTAGAGGATGTCACAAAATAGACTGCCGGTGGCTACGGCAGCCAAATGCACGTGGCTGCAGTGTGTCCCCGGCCTGCTCAGACACGTGTCCTTCTGATGCCTTTGTTTGAAAAGAGCGGTCCCGTTTAAATTAGTACAGCAGACTGAAACACGATTCCTTCCTGGTCCGATTTTCTAGCTCTTTAATGATTTTAGTTGTTCTGAATCTTCTTCATGTTCCCTGTTTAAGTAATAGGATGGAAGTGTGATGCTTCACCACTGCCTGTGCGTGCACTTTTTGCCCTCTAAAAGTGCACGCCGCAACAAGAACGTACCAGTGCTTTCTGCGAAACTCAGAATCTGTTTTTTTATGACTGGGGTTTAGACTTCAAGTCCAAAACACGCATACCTTAGAGGTGTTGTGGGTTTGGCTCCAGAAAATTGCAATAAAGTGAGTCAACTGACTTTTTTTTTTTTTTTTTTTTTTTTTTTTTTTGGCTTTCCGGTGAATAAAAAGTTACGTTTTCACTATCGTCTATTTAGTGGCAATAGCATTATGTCGAAAGAGGCCATGTACGTAAAGGATCTGAGTCATGTGGAGAAAGGACAAATCCATCCCTCCCCATCCCAGCAAATCGAGGAGAGAGGGGGTCAGAACAAAACGACAAGGCTCAGAGCTATGTCTGATCAGGAGCAAATATGGACCAAAACAGCGTCACGATGCTGATAGTCTCTTTGTAATGTAGAGGAGGAAAGCCCGGTGACTCCGAGTCTCCTGGATGGCAGGTCGCTGCGAATTTTGTCAGTAGTTTTCAGCTCAGTCTAATTGCTCCAAAATCACACAGTAGATTCAGCCTCAGTCTGCATTATTTTATCTGTACTAATCACATAATCATTAGTTTTATATTCTCCTTCAAAGCTATAAAAGCTTATGAAGTATCCAACATCTTCACTTCCTACTCACCAATCCCTTATACTGTTAGGGGAAACTAACCAAAACTACATTTTCCTGCCCCCAAACCATGAAAAACGAAAAATCACTTGTAAAGTGACTGAGTCACAGCTGACTATTCTCCCGACGTCACTTTTTTAGATACACCACTTCTGAAGTTATTTATATTATACAAATAACCTTCTCATAAGCCACTGTGGGTGTGAAATGTAAAACAAGCTAAATTTGATCCCCCCAAAGGGTTGGGGTTACGCTATGTGATTTTCTCCCTCCCAGTTACCATTCATTACATTGCTGGCAGCAAGGAAGTCCAGAAAGAGGCAAGCATTTCAAGAGCTCTCCCGTGTAGGTGCTGGGCTTAGATTTCACTCAGATTTCACTCTGCAGCTGAGCAATCCATCTTACCCTGCTGTAAGACAATACTTTCAAATCCACTTATCAATGTCAGGCCACACTTCAGTATCAAAGAAAGCCAGGATGAAACGATCAGATTTACAAACTTCATATAAAAGGTTGGTTGCTCACTGTGGTTAGATAAGTGCCCTGATGCACAAACGGGGAAGGCTCTTTTTTTAATGTCCCCGTGACTCAGTCGTTCTCAATTCAGATGTCTGCGTGAAAGCCATGGGTTATGCTAAACACATTTCCCTCACTCTTATCCTTGAGAGGAAACTACCCGCTTGCTTGGGGATCCGTCTGTACCTCCGGTGGTTTAAAACTTTATCAAAATTCATTTGTCTTTTGGAATGAACTTTGACACACCGCTGGCAGGCTCAGGTGATCTCCGCAGGTGCAAGAGCGAAAACTGGTTTTAGATTCTACGGAGCGAAGCTGCCAGGGGGTTTGAGAGGGTGCAGGCCGACTGTCCCACAGACTGACTTCGGGAAAGTCTGCACAGGTGTCTGATACGAGCGACGTGCACGTCAGCGTATGCACGAAGCAGAGATGTTGCGTTCACTTACTTGTTCCTGGAGGACTTTAAGTAATGCTTGCGTGTGCGACTGCTCTTCCTTTGCTTGTTCCAATTCCGACTTCTTGTTGTTTAACTCCTCCTGGATGGTCAGCAGTTGCTGTGAGAATAAGAATAGTTAAGGTAAATAGAGTGATGGCCAGGAGATGGCAAGATATTAAAAATATCCATTCAAAACCTGAGAAGATTTTTTTTTTTATGTCTTAAAGGCTTAATCCAGACTTCAGCTAACTTTTTCTTTTTTAAAGTTTATTTATTTACTTTGAGAGAGAGAGAGAGAGAGAGAGAGAGCAAGCATGGGAGGGGCAGAGAGAGAGGGAGAGAGAGAGAATTCCAAGCAGGCTCTGCACTGTCAGAACGGAGCCGGACTTGGGGCTTGAACTCACAAACCGTGAGATCGTGACCTGAGCCCAAACCAAGAGTTAGAGCTTAACCGACTGAGCCACCCAGGAGGCACACCCCCACCACTTAGTGTATTGAGTATTGCAGGTCTTGACACATTATTAGGCCATTCGTGATACTGCTATGCAACGAAACGAATCTGTTCGAGCTATTTGCAAAGGCATCATCATAATCCTTCGAACAAACGCGCATTTGTCAACATGTAGAGAACAGTGTTAGTAGACAACATGTTTTGATAGACGAAGAAATGAAATAATCAAAAAAAAAAAAAAAAAAAAAAAAAAAAAAACCCTGGATCTAATCTGTCAACTTATCCACTGTTTCTTCATTTTCCATAGGACAGGAAAACCGGCCTTACAGTGGCTCCGTGAAGCCACCTCGCCCAGTGGCTGGGACCACAAAAGATCCTTTTACTTTCTCTGTTATGACGGTGATGTTTTATTAGATCAGCAGGACTGAAGTCCAAACTGCAATCAATATATCAGCCGAGAAAACTGCTGATATAAGCTGTCAAAACACTAAGCTATGGCCTACGCTGCTATTTTTAAGCAGGGCCACTGAAGGGATTTCTGTAAGCCTTGCCTTGAGCCTTCCTCGCCCTATCAACTGTAACTCATGTTGAGGCTTACCTTGTCTGCCAAAAGCACGGTACGGCCCGGCACTAATTCTTTGGAACAGGGCTGTATGTGACTATATACGTGGGCTGCAAAATACATTCAAGAGCTTCCAAACAGGCCGTAGCAATGGCTGTGTCTGCTCAAAGCTTCTTAACAACAAAGGACTAGTCAGGAAAGACAGAGGAGCATTTTTTCTGCTACCGAACATAACAAATGCCGCACTAATGATCTGAAATGTTAGTGCATTCCTGCCACGAAGGTGGCTGTCTCCAACATCAAGGCTGCTTCTTTGGGGCCTTGACAAGCCGGCTGTGCGGCTGCTGGCCAGCTCTTAACTATCAAGGCCTGAATAAACACTGGTGCTGGATTTCTGATGCTTAAACCCACCAACTGGAAGGATCAAATTAAGTCTTTAAAACCTAGTTTTGGGGTGTGTTAGGGAGTAGGAAGCACTCAGAAAAACACACTCTGCTTTCCCTTGGGCTGGCTTGCCCTGTTCCCTCCTTTGGCACTGGATGTAAATTCAGGAACCGACTTTCGTGCCCCCTAGCGTAAGCGGCGATATCCTTGCAATACTCTAAGAACCCTATTTCACCACCAGCCCGTATCATAACAACACGTGAGGTAGTAGACACGTCCCACACCTGCTCCCTTAACACCTTGTGTGATTTAATTGTGCATCAGTTGATTGAAACACAGAAACCGGGGAGCCCGTATTGTCCTCTGGCACCATGACAAGTACCTAAAATGACTGCTTCCAAACATTGGGGGGTGACTCTGTTCCTTCATTGTCATTCATGACTGGCCCCAGAACAGCTCTCGGGGGATCTGGTGTTCTGACTTTCGATGACGCCCGGTGAATTTTTACATATTAGACAAGTTTCAGATCCGATCCTTAAACCTCTTTTAAAAATGAGCCAAAGGAAGGACAGGAAATCGTCTTCAAGAGTAGGTAGCTTAGGTTTGTTCCCTGCCACACTTGGGGTAGCAACGCTCAGAAACAACTCATGTCCAGGGGAAGGGTGTTGGCTGCGTTAGTGATGGTGCATCTGTTCAAGGGAAACTATGCAGCCGTTGAAAACGAAGTTGCACAAAGGTCTTTGGACAACACAGAAGAAGCTGCCAATACACTCTTCTCCCCACGAAGACTTCAGGTTACAAAAAGGTTTCATTATGGAGCCTACTTAAGATTCTCTCTCTCTCTCTCTCTCTTCATCTACCCTGCCCTTGCTCACATGCGCTCTTTCTCAAAGAAATAATAATAATAAAAATAAATAAAAATAAAAAATGTTAATTATATAAGTATAGCCGACCTACAACGGTATATTAGTTTTAGGTACACAACATAGTGATCTGACAAATGTGTGCATTGCTCAGAGCTGACCTCAATAAGTGTGGTCACCATCTGTCACCACACAAAATTATTACGCTATTATTGACTCTATTCCCTAGGCTGTACTTTTCCCCTCTGTGGAATCACACTTTTAAAAATAAAATGTTTTCTCTCTCATCCCCGCTTCCTTTTTATATGTAGGCAACCACTTTCAATGCTTTCCATCTTTGTTTGAATGTGTTTTTCTAAAATACATATTGTTGGGTTTTGAGCATGCATTTTTATGGGATGTTGTCGTATCTCTTGTTATTTACGTTTTTACTAGGGATTATTTTTTAAAGATCCATTCCTGTTAATATGTGTGTATCTCATCTGTTGCTCCTGATGGCTGTACAACAATCTCTGAGGTACATCCACCCGGTTATACCTAATCCACTCTCCCAGGAAAGCCACTCAGATTATGTCTAGCTCTCCTCACTCTATACAAGGTTGCAGTGGAACATGCGAGTGCATGGTAGCTTACGGACCTGCGGCAGAACTCCCTAGGCATTCCGCAGGGGAAATGCCGCTTCCTAGGGTGTACCCAACATGCCAATTTGCCCAAGCTGCTGTGCCGAATGTCTGTACCAGTCCACCCACCCACCAGTGGGGTACGAGAGTCCCCGTGCCCCACGGCCACACTAACGCTTAGCATTACCCACCTGGTTTTCTACTATTTGTCAGATAGTTCTAATTGTTGTCTAATCATATAAAGGTTATTCACTGAAAATATGTTTGGGTACTTCTCTAAACCCCTTGTGATTTTTAAACCTCTCATCAGATGCTTGCTGGCTGCTGAGGCTTCCATTTATACTTCAAGGGCAGTGGTTCTTAATATGGGGAACTTTTCAAAATAGGACTGGTTCTTGGGCCCTCAAGAAGACCAATTAACTCAGAATATCTAGGCAATGATACGTAAAAAAAAATGCCTTAACAGAGAATTCTAATGTGTAACTGGGATAAAAGCCACTGTTTCTTTTAAGGCTCATTTAAACCTCATTCCACTACACTGTGACTTCCGTCTAGAGTACTCCACTCAAACTATCGTCACTGAATCACTGACGCTTTTCTACTGGCCGACTAGCATGCCGGGTTCTTTTCTCCTGCTCGGTACCTTCCCCAGGTGCTCTGTTCACACCCATGGCCTCAACTCCACATCTTACGTGCTTATGCCTTACAAGGGTGACTCTACAGTCTGTGCCTCATTCCTAAAACCCTGAAGTCCACCCCTCCCCTTTTATCACCTTGGGAACCTCCCTGCCCGGTCCTCTGCCTTTTCTCCCTCCCAGCCTCACTGTCATAGTTAAGGCAGCCCCTCTCCTCTCCTCCGGATCTGCTTGTCCCCCTTGTCATTCACCTTGTACTCCTCACAGAACTGACCTCCTAAAAAATGAAAGTGCTCCCATGCTTAAAACATATGGTTGGCTCAGCATTTTTCAGAGAACTAGAACAATAATACTAAAATTTGTATGGGACCACAAAAGACCTCAAAAAGCCATAGCTATCTTGATAAATAAGAATAAAGCTGGAGGTATCACAATTCCAGATTTCAGGATATACTACAAAGCCACAGTCATCAAAACAGAATGGTACTGGCACACACACAAAAAACCAGACACACAGATCAATGGAACGGAACAGAGAGCCCAGAAATAAACCTATATATATATATATGTATATATATGGTCATATATATGGCCAATTAATCTACAACAAAGGAGGCAAGAATATGCAATGGGAAAAGACAGTCTCTTCAATAAATGGTGTTGGGAAAACTGGACAGCTACATGCAAAAGAATGAAACTGGACCACTTTCTTACACCACACACAAAAATAAACCCAAAATGAATTAGAGACCTAAATGTGAGACCTGACACCATAAAACTCCTAGAAGGAAAGGTAGGCAGTAATTTCTCTGACATCAGCCATAGCAATATTTGTGTCTCCTAAGGCAAGAGAAACAAAAGCAAAAATAAACTATTGGGACTACACCAAAATAAAAAACTTTTGCACAGTGAAGGAGATCATTAACAAAACAAAAAACCAACCTACTGAATGGGAGAAGATATTTGCAAATGACATATTTGACAAAGGGTTAACATCCGATATATATAAAGAACTTCTACAACTCAACACCAAAAAATGCTGTATGCCTGAAATTAATGTAACATTGCGTGTCAACTATACTTCAATAATAATAATAATTAAAAAATACTTTTGGTTCCCCAAACTCTACTGGAGAAAATCCAAAGCCCTGATCTCATCCTTCCCTGGATGTGTGAGGTCCTTTCATGTCTCTGTGACAAGATCATTACCCAGAGTTCTGCTTGGCAGGCTCCTACTCATTTTTAGGCCAACATCGAAAAGAATGTTTTTCGATGAGTACCACCCGTAGGATGACTTTATGCACTAGAAAACAGCCCCATCCAATAGGAAGACAAGACTCCTCACTAGGGCACATAGTTTGGTGGTGATGTGGGGGCTCGATTTAATTTCCACTTGCCCATCTGGCCTGGTGCCTTTATCCAGGGCAGAAGCTGCAGGACCATATGCAGTATCCTTGGGTTCTTCTGCAGTAAAGACCTCCTTCAATCACGCGAGCAAAGTTAATTGTCCGAACTGCTACACTCCCAAAGCATTTCATATGAAAGATTACCTTTCATAGGTATCTCAACGAGACTATACCCACCAATGGCAGGGTCAGTCGTC